TCTATGGCACTGCTTAAAGTTTCTATGGCACTGCTTAAAGGTTCTATGGCACTGCTTAAAGTTTCTATGGCACTGCTTAAAGGTTCTATGGCACTGCTTAAAGGTTCTAAGGCACAGGGGCCAAATGGGCAGACATAATGAGGTGAAAAGATGGACACAAAACAGTGAAAATTGTGACAGAGCAGCAGAAGCATCCTAATAATAAGTGGGGTAGGTGCATGACATCAATACAGATACAAAAAGCAGGAATGCACTGGTGTGGAAGGAAGCCCTTTTCCTGAAGCATGTGAGGCAGCGTCCACAAGCTCACATACGACGCACTCAGGAAAAGCATCTGCTGCGTTATCTGAGCAGGCAGGGAAGGAGGCAGAGCCGCAGGGCAGGCGGCGGGGCGATGGCAGAGTCACGCTCCGGCTCTTAGAGCGCGGCTGGCGCCACATGGGCTGAAATGGCCAAAGCAATGAGACAAGCTGCCTTTTCTTCCCTGCAGTTCCCACCCAGACAATGTGGCGGCCACAGAGCCCAGCACAGCTTCAAAACCAAAGAAAAGACACAATGTTCTAGCTGATATACTTTAAGTGAATATCTCCAAATATGAAGATGCTGATTTTATGGCATAGTTTTTGAACTTTTGATTGATGCAAGGGATTTTTCTGTAAATAATTATACTAAAATCTAAATTAAAGAAAATAAATAAATGAGCCTGTGCAGTGTTATCTGACGCATGATTGGTGTTAACTTCCCATGAGAACCTGAAATGTAAGAGCCTCACGCCGTGGGCAGCCTTGGGTCCGAGCACAGGTAGCCCTACCAATTCCGACCCTGCCCATCACAGAGAATGCATGACAAAGGAAATAATAAAATGTTACAGCATCAGAGAGACGTTTAGTGGGGCTGCAGGGGGGGGGACTCGTCATTACTACATGTCCATGGAGGTTCAAAAGTCGAAAGGTGCCCAGCCATTCCAGAATGGCCGGAAAGTTATGATATTTAAAAAGTTTCAAGAGAGAATGCTTGGAACCATCTTCCAAATGTCTCAGAGCGCCAGCTTCTTCCTTAAAGCACAGTGCAGTCGCAAAAAGTGTCCAGTTGTCTGACGAGCGCAGATGTTATTTTGGCAGGTTTGACACAAACCGTTCCAGACAATCTACTTATGTGGCTTCATTTCCCGGCCACTAAATGACATCACTGTCAAAACCCGTCTCAGACAGCCGGCCGGCACGCCAAGGCTGACAGCCCACGTAGAGATCCATCTTCACCGAAGACTTCCTCTCCACCTGCCGCCATAAGGGGCCGTTTAGGAAAATGCTGATGCGGGATTTTTAACTTTGGGGGGGGTGGGGGGGCAGCAGGTGGCCTACGGCGAAGGAACTACATCGGCCAGATGGGAGGAAGGCTTGTGACGTAGCTTGAGAAAGATGCAAATGCTAACGTATTTCGACAAACTAACCTGAAAGGAACAGGATGTCAAGGCTGAAAGGATTCACCCGAGAGCTAGTCAAGCAAATTGCCTGCCTTTAATGAGCAAGTGCCATGAGCGCATCTGTGTTTGCAAGTACGGTCCCAGAAGCAAGGTCTATACTAAGGATCACCCTGCACAGGTATTCAAGCCTCTCTTCCTGCTATAAAGCCGGAAAAGCGAAACAGCCCCGACGAGAAGGCGCTCTCGCTCAACAAGCCGGCAGAGTTCCCCCGTCGGACTTTATCCAGATTCACAGCCATAAAAGGCACCTGCTGTGTATCCAATGTGTTGCTTTTGTGTGTGTGTGTGTGTGTGTGTTTCCCGATATGCACTTTCACTCGATAACCTTCACACTGATGCACCAAAAAGTAAAGGATGGG